AAAAAAGGTGAAAGCAGAACTAATTGGCTAATAAGCCATGGGAAGCATTGGAAGCCAATAATTTTACATAACTTATTTCATAACATAAATTAACCTTCTCACAAATAGAAATACAGAAATTGCATTCCAGAAAAATGAAACAGTCGCACATTGAGAAATTTAATTATATTTTCTAAGATTTCTCCATTTTGGAGGGGAAGTGGTTCTTCATTCCATGACAGCTTCTTCCTTCCCATCAGATGAGTAGTCCTTCCTGATAAAGTTCAAGGTGAACAAACCATAAAAACAGTATTCTGAGAGCAAGCCATTTTACTGAAATAAAACGGCTATATTTTTGTATTTCACAGAAAAAAAAACGGATTTGTTTTAGAAGTATGAAAATTTATTTGGAAAAAAGTCTGCATATTTTGTAGATTTGTTCTCCCTGCAAAGTAATTAACCTTAACATAAGAACATTCACGTTTCATTTCAAATTTTTACAGGAAAAAAGTTCATCTTTGGTTGAAAATGTGTTCGTGCAAATGCATTTTAAGTCTCAAATGTTTTAGCTCTTTCTGTTTGTGCTTTTATAAGTTTTTCTTTCTTGTAAGAGCAGAAGCATGATTTTTTCTGCTATGTTTGGGTTCTGATTTTGCCTGCACAGAAAATTTTCTATTGTGTAATAGCAGCTTTACCAAAAGCAGCAGCACAAAAGAAAAGCCTCAGTTGTATTAGTAGTTTCTTTATTTAACAATGTTTAATTATCTAAAATAAAATATTTTGCTAGCATAAAATAATACTCTCAACTATAAAAGCATGTTATGAACTTAGTGTTTCAATAAGCTTTAATTGCTACAAAGACATTAATAACATTTGGATTATAAATAAAATCAAGGATCGACATTAAATGTCTCTTTTTTGTAATACAACAATCTTTTATGTTGTTTGAAGGTGGCAAAATTCTGATAAGCGAGACAAAAGTGAAAATTAAGAGAAAATTTAGATGTTTAGAGGCTTTAATCTTAGCCAAAGAAATACTATTTATATCGATGCAGAGTCCAACATATCAACTTTGATATAAGTAATGTCTGAGCTGAAATAGGAGGTTACATTGTATGGAGAAGAGTCATGGGATATGAAGTTATTGATAACCAAATTGATGTGCGACAGATATTAGACTATTATGGTAGATGTTTTGTAAAATTAGGAAGAAGAGTGAAAAATACTTATGGGAAAGGGATGGTAGGGGTAAAAGTATTAAAGATGACTTAATGAAACATAATGGCTGGTCAACATCATACTATGTATTGAAGGTTAAACTTGTAGATCTTTCTTTGCTAAGCATTCATGAAAGACATCATAAAAATATCACATGCTATTTCTACGCGGAAATCAGCCACTCGAATAAGCATTAATGGCTATTAAAAAAAACAACAAACAAACATACTCTTTAAAGTAATTAAAGTTGGAAAACTTTCCTTTTGAAAGGCAAATTTTGAATATGCATATGGCAACAAAGAATTATTTCAACTAAACATTCCTTTAAAATGTTAAGAATATTTTGAAGAGATCCAAGACGATCAGATGTTAATGCTAATAGAAAATTTCCTGTCTACAATGAGAACATTAAAGCAGTTAGACATTTAAAAGGAGAAGTGTCAAAATAGGCCCGATTCTTTGCAAGAAGTCACTTTCGTCCCAGAGTTTATAAAGTGTTGATTTAGTCAAACTCTTTTAATATGGGTTGAAATAATCCCCACTAAGGATTATTTTAGCCTCTATTAAAAGAGTACAGGGACTTATTTAGTATTTTTATAAACTCTAGGACTATAAATAGTCAAGGGGCAATTTGGCACTTTATTCCATTTAAAAGAAACCACATATAATGAGAGGTTGCCTTGTTGCAGATAGCATTGAACATCTAAACTAGCCTGCACAGATTTGCCTAGATAAAACATGTACTCCTGTATTGAAACAAGCCAACATGTACTCCCGTATTGAAACGAACCTTCACAAAACAATCAAGCAGAAAAAGAAATCAATTAGACAAAGCGTCATCTTACTGGATTTTGCGAGAAAGCTGATAGAGCCCAGTGCCAGCCATTGCAACATTTACACTAAAAAGGTTCCAGTTTTTCTGCAAAGAACCAAATTTAAAGCCAAGGGTAGAACTCCAAATAATAAAACTAGACTACAAAACCGAATATAGAATATGAAAAAAATCAAAGACATTGCGCTCAGAGCAGTTAAGAAATGTCACTGCATCAAGCACAGCTCAAAGTCACAGGAGCATTTGAGGAATTATGGTGCATACCACAAAGCCCAATAACGGAACAAGCACGAGCGAAATCAAAAGTGAAATTGGGAGACAAAATTCTCAATTCAAAAACCAAAAAGAAACGTTCATTAGTCACAAATCCAACTTTTTACCCATAAGAACTGAAATAATTCTATTCTGCACGGAATAAAATGACATTTTTTACAGTGGTCATTTTTTAAGCACATATATATAAATTAAATATCACTGGACAAGAATTCAAAATCACTGCCTCCCAAAACTTGGCTCAATTTGAAAACAAATAATAAAACTCAAATCTCATGAATGACTGTTGTTGGCAAAAAGATCTCATTTGTACGTAATGCTCATACTCACATCCCACATCCGCTCCACTCAAAAAAAACCTCGCCATAAGATTTATGCACTGATAGAGTTTAGTCCTCTTGCTTATACTTTGACTACAGCATAAGGTCCCCTTAAGGCAATGTCGACAAAGAATAAGTTATCCCACAATTCTAAGAGCTCTATGCCAGTGATGGATGGCATCTACAAAAAGCGGTGAGAGCAAGTTTCACTGAATCTACATCCTCACATCTCTCCATCATTTGATTCCCAGACCATTTGGATGATGAATAAATATTGGTGATCCTACGTGCAAACAAGCTCAGTCATGCTGAATAACCATTGGTCCTTCTGTCTTCTAAGCTTCGTGAGAAGACGAATATCGAGTATAAATCATGTGTATTTCACTATTTGATTTGATGATAAAAAACTTTGTGGTGTTCATCAAGATGATCACAACAAATGTATGACTATAACAGTGCAATCAACTGGTTATATCATGTAGATAAACACACATAGGTTGTGTCTTAAGTTCTTAGGCTGTATATTAGATTCAATATATATATTAAGTATGACAACATCCAAAGCCTCAAAATAATGAAACCACATTTTACAAAAAAGAAAAATTAAGAAGTTAATGACATACTATGTAAATGAAATAAAAAAAATAAAAAAAAAATTAAATAAAAAATCAAGCGGATTCCCACAAAATTGGATGGTTGCACTTGTGCAGCATTTTAATAAAATCAAACATCCAACTTACAATCATAAGATTCATGTAGCCGATCCCACTTAGTGGGATAAAGGCTTGTTGTTGTGTATCCAACTTAAATCATAAGATTGAAACTAAAAAAAAAAGATTTTATTCAAGAAAAAGTTATAAATTACATGCCTTAACATAACTATTTATAGACTCAATATAGCCTAAACTAGTATATAAAATTGGCTTCAAATTACCTTAATCCAAGTTTAAATTAAAAAACCGAGTGAAAAGAATACATTTTTAATTGAACTAAATCCAAAACATCCATCACAACTGTGAGTTCTGGGACTTACCTATTTCATCTTTATTCTCTTTTATTCTTTTCTTATTATTTTGCACGTCTTTCTTTTTGTGTTCATTTTGTTTTTTGGTAAGTTATAATAGACTTAATTATGTTTGCTCAATCATCCCCCATATAATAAGGTGAAAAGTTATAATTTGAAAAAGTGAGAAATAAGATAATATAATTTCTCCACATTTTTTATGGTATTAGAGCCTCATCAAAGCGTTCTTGTCAGCGCCATTAATATTTGATGTTAGCCTCATTTGTTTTTGGTTTCATTCGCGTCGTCTGGATTGCTAGACTTTTGTGTCGTCTGCTTCTGGATCACTAGACGTTAGGGTCGTCTATCTCCATCATATGCGCGCATGACCCAAGATTCGAAGCCCTTGCTTCCACATTTGAACTATTACATGAAATTGGCTTCTCATTACCTCAATCCAAGTTTAAATTTAAAAACTGAGTGAAAAGAATGTATTTTTAATCGAAAAAAATCCAAAATATCCATCCTAATTGTGAATTTTGGGAGTTTTCTATTTCAATTTTATTCTCTTTTATTCTTTTCTTATTATCTTGCATGTTTTTTCTTTTATGTTTGTTTTATTTTTCGGTAAGTTATAATAAACTTAATTATGTTTGCCCTAGTGGTGTCTGTTGGGTAATGTGGAGACCCGGTCCACCGAATTTAATTAGCTTTTTAATTAAGTATCTCATCTACATCCCACCTACCACATCCCACCTACCGCTCACCTACCTCCCATCTACCGCTCTCATGGTTTTTATAAATAGCCTCTTTTGGCTTTAAGGAGATGTCAAGCCTCTAGTCAAACAAAGCCAAGCAAGACCAAGCCAAGTCATCTTGAGAGCTAAGAGAAAGAGAGGAAGAGAGAGAGAGAGAGAGAGGGAGAGAAGAAAATAGTGATTTTCTTGTAAACGTCGAGGTGCCCGACGTGTAATTCCTCGAAGTAGTAAAATCCCCTGCAGCTTCGTGGACGTAGGCAATTTTGTCGAACTACGTAAATCTGTGTGTCGCTCTGGTGTTTTTTCTGCGTGCAATTTTTTTCTTGTTCCATTTTTTGTTTTATTGCCGTCATTTTTTCATAACAACTGGTATCAAAGCTTTTGTTCGAATCTAAAGAAGAACGATGAGCGGAGACGAAGTGATGACATCGACGATCGAGAAGTTCAAGGGCACATATTTTGCTTACTGGATGATGCAGATAGAAGACTATCTCTATGGGAATAAACTTCATCTTCCGTTACTCGGAAAACGACCATAAAAGATGGACGAGGTGGAATGAAATCTTTTGGATCGACAGGTTCTGGGGGTTATACGATTAATCTTGTCGAGATCGGTCGCCCACAACGTCATCAAGGAGAGGACTACTGGAGATCTCATGACAGCTTTATCAGGTATGTATGAAAAGCCATCGGCTAATAACAAGGTGCATCTGATGAAAAAAGTTATTCAACTTGAAGATGACAGAATGTGTGTCTGTTGCTCAACACCTAAATGTTTTCGAAGATGGTGGAAGGTGTCTTTGTTGCTTAACACCTGAATGATTTCAACACTATCACAAATCAATTGTCGTCTGTTGAAATTGATTTTGATGATGAGATACGTGGCTGATATTGTTGACATCATTGTCAAATAGCTGGGAAGCTATGAGAATGATAGTTAGCAGTTCTGCAGGTAAATCCAAGTTAAAATATAATGATATCGTGATTTGATTTTGGTTGAGAATGTGCGCAGAAAGGATTCTGGCGATGCCTCGTGTTCAAGTTCGACGCTGAATGTTGATTCCAGAGGGAGATCACATGATAGGAACTCAAACAGAGGAAAATCAAAATCAAAGTCTGGTCAGCAGACAACCTGCTGGAATTGTGGCAAGGCTGGCCACATATAAAAAGAAACTGCAGGAATCCTTAAAATAAGGAGAATGATGGCGTTAATGTTGTAACTGAAGAAATACATGATGCACTATTTCTGACAGTTCACAATTCTGTTGATGACTGGATACTGGACTTAGGGGCTTCCTTTCATATATATTCCCGCCGGGAGTTAATGCGAAATTATGTTGCAGGTAACTTTGGGAAGGTACATCTGGCTGATGATGGAAAAGCTTTGGACATGGTGGGGGAAGAGAGACATTGATATTGCACTCCCTAATAAAAGCAAATGGACATTGCAAAATGTTAGAAATGTTTCTGAGTTGAACAAAAACCTCATCTCTGTTGGGCAGCTCAATGAGGGTGGTCATTAAATAGTGTTCTAAGATAACACCTGGAAGGTTACCAAATGAGCATTAGTAATAACTCGAAGTAAGAAAATTGACACACTATATATGACTACAGGTTTACTCAAGTGTGGACACATGAGTCAGAGGTGCATTATGGGGAAGCAGAAGAATGTTCATTTCTTGAAAAGTGGCAGAGCGCCAAAGGCGGGAAAATCGGACCATGTACAGACAAATAGTTGAGAACCACAAAGTTATGAAGAAATCTTGCAAGATGAGAATTTTAGTTAGCGAGTGAGAGCTAACCAAGGAGGAGACGGATTCTCTGCCAGGGAATCAGACTTGGGAGCTGGCAGACCTTCCACCAAGGAAGAAGACATTGCACAACAAGCGGGTGTATCGGGTGAAGACTGCGCTTAGAAAAACTGCGTTTGGTGGCAGTAAGAGCTACAAGGTTGGACTTGTTGAAAAGGGCTTTCAGCAGAAGCAGGACATTGCTCATGTAATGAGAGTTGTAAGTAGATACATGAGTAACCCAGGAAAGAGCTTGGTGATACAATGCTACGTTTAGGGTGATACATCAACTGAGGGTGTTACTCGTGAGAAACTGAAGTTGTGCTCGACTTCAGCTGGTCTTCTGGCATAAAGACCAGGGCTTCGAGTTGCAGAGGTGGAAGATATCATATTTGAGGAAAAGTTCGGTACAACTAATAGATGATGCAGCTAGTAGGTGATGCATTCAATGTCTCAGTCTCCAAATTGGAGAATTGTTGGGTAATGTAGAAACCTGGTCCACCGAATTTAATTAGCTTCTTAATTAAATATCTCACCCACCGCTCACCTTCCACATCCCACCTACCGCTCTCATGGTTTCTATAAATAGTCTCTTTTGGTTTAAAGGAAATGCAAGTCAAGCTAAGCATAGTCAAACAAAGTCAAGCAAGGTCAAGCCAAGTCATCTTGAGAGTTAAGAGAAAGAGAGGAAAAGATAGAGAGAAGGGGAGAAGAAAATAAAGATTTTCTTGTAAAAGTCGAGATGTTCGACGGTGTAATTCCTCGAAGTAGTAAAATCCTCTGCAGCTCCGTTAACGTAGGCAATTTTGTTGAACCACGTAAATATGTGTCGCTCTGGTGTTTTTTCTGCATGCAATTTTTTCTAGTTCCATTTTTCGTTTTATTGACGTCGTTTTTTCACAACAGTGCCCCATAGAATACAGGGATAAGTTGCAATTTGAAA